TTTATTTTCCCCCCAAAGCCCCAGTAGATAGTTGTATGTCTTAGCTGCACATCCTTCTAGTTGCTGTATGTGGGACACGGCCTCAGCATGGCCGGACAAGCCGCGCGTCAGTGCGCGCCCGGGATCCGAACCCGGGCCGCCAGCAGCGGAGCGCGCGCACTTAGCCGCTAAGCCACGGGGCCGGCCCACAAAGACATTTAATTTTTTAAAGTTGAATTTATCCACAGGACGCCAGGTAAAATAATTTATGAAATGTTCAAGGAGTATGTGTGAGAAATAATCTAGCATTAGGTTGGTAAAAATTAAAAACTTGTTCCAAAATTAACAGTTCTATCATCAGTTGTTTTAGTTTCACTAATTTTAAGAGGACTCAGTCTCAAAGGAAGGATCTTGCACCTAAAACTTTTCTCCTATGACTGTTGAAAACTTTAAAAAGTGTCTGTATTTTGAACTGAATGGTGGTAGAGCAAAAAGCGGCTTGGTACTTAAAAGGAGGCAGAGTGCCACAGTGACTGTGAATCTTTCAAAGGGCCTTGCGTTTTAGGGTCCCCCGCGATTAGACTGGGCGAGCACATTGTTATCCCTGTGTTACAGGTGAGAAAACGAATTCTGAGCCGTGTGTCAAGAGCTGGACCTGGAAGCCAGGTTTTCTACTTCTCAGTGTGCGTACTATACCATGTGCCAAAAGCCATCTCCCTCTACCTGTGTCCATTTCTAGCTGCATCAGGAAGGTGTCTCCCCGTTAAGCCATGTGATCAGGTTTTGCCCTCCCCATTTCACTGAAACGCACCTGACTGCTAAGTGCAGCAGAACCTACTTTTTCAGTTGACCTCTTTGATTTGTGACCCTTTACCAATTCCTTCTTCGTACCTACTGGCTTCAGTGATGCGTCATCCCCCTGGATTTTCTACCTCTTCTCTGACCTCTGGTGTGGCCTCCTGTGCGGGCTCCTCTGCCCCTGCCCGTCCTCTCGCCTTGGGTTCCCGAGGTTCTGAACTCCGCCCTCTTGTTGCACTCACCCAGTGCAGTCTCAGCCGTCGCTGGGACGTTAGCCCAGCTGCCTGAGCCGGGACCTGGGCATCTCTGCCTGTCTTTTCTCTCTGGTATTCAGCCTATCACCAAGTCTGCTCCGTCTGCCTCCTGAATGTTTCTCTGAAAGTGCAACCACTTTCCACCCCAACGGCCTCCTAGCTGCTGCCCCAGCCTCCAGGGTTTTTCCTTGTTAATCCACCCTCATATTGCAGTCAAAGTGGTCTTTTCAAAAAGCAAAAGGGATCCTGCCACTCCCTTGCTTAAATTTTTGATGGCTCTCAGTTGCTCTAAGGATGACATTTAAACTCCATAATGTGACCAACCAGAGTGATGACTTGGGCCCCCTGTAATCCTGTGTCTCCCCCGACACCCACACAGACACACACACCTTCTCTATACAAGTCATGCTCTGTCTCTCGCCTCTGGGTGGCTTGTGTGTTGTTCTTTCCCCCTGAGCTGTTTCTCCCTGTGCCCCCCCCCATACCACCATGCAAGCACCACTGCTTGACCTTGATAATTTCATCCTGCTGGCTCATGTTGCTTCCTCCAGGATTTCACCACCTCCCTCCCCCCACCTTTACCTCCTCAGCCTCCTCCTGGGTTTGGTGCTCCCCCTCTGTGCTCCCATAGCACCTCGTGTAGCTTGTACACCATGTGTGCATATGCTGTTGGATTTTCCTGCCGTACCCTCCCATCACCATAGTGGGCTTCTTGTTCACCTCTGCCTGCCCAAGGCCTGGCGCGGTGCTCAGCTTATAGTAGGAGCACAACGTATTTTACTGAGTGTTATCCGTACACTGATGCATCCCGACAGAGTCTCTAGCACCATAGACATGTATATTTATTTACACACATTTCACGTCATTTATGTAGCCAGTTTCTTACTAGGTATCACCATCTGGATAACCCACTGCTATGCGCTCAGCAAGCTCACAGCTGAATTTCCTGTCTGCCTTCTATCCTCCCTTAAGCCTTTTCTTCCTTCCCTGTCCCTGTCCTACTTAATTAATGGGGCTGCCCTCTGCCCTGTCACCCAAGCCAGAAACTTGATGGCTATTTTAGACTCCTCTCTCCATTTCTGCATTCAGCCACCATGAAGTCCCATCAGTCTATATCTTCAGTGCCCCTTACATCTGTCCTCATCAGCCCTCCTGCTGTTCCCAGCCTCCAGGGTCTGTGGCCTATCATTGTAGCCACTCAACCACGTTCCGCTTCAGTTTTGCTCCTTCTCTTCCCAGTCCAGTCTGTTTTCAGTCAAGTTTATCTTTGTAAATGCAAATCTGATGTCATCTGCGGCCTCAGGGCTGGGCATGGCCTACAAAGTGCTTTCGACAGGGCTTGCTCTCTGCTGCCCCACTTCATCAGCTGCTCTGGCCTCGCACAGCTGGAACGGACACGGACTGGATGCCCGTTTCCTATTCAATCTGCTGGCAGATCCGGTTTCTCTTTCAGGCATCAGACCAAGGCCTCCTGCCTCTGTGCTGCCGTCGCTCCACTGTACCATCTATTCGTCTATTATGTACTGGCTGCTGGCGGGCCAGCTTCTCCGCTAGCTTGTGGCTCCTTGGGTGCAGAGGCCGTGTCTGTTAACCTGTGTGTTCCCAGAGCTTTGGCCTGTTGCTAGGGCCAGTTTTCCCTCAGCAGCTGTGTTACAGTGGTGTCTGATTCCGTGGTACAGTTGTGCGTCGCACAATGACAGGGATACATTCTGAGAGCTGTGTTGTTAGACGATTTCCTCAGGTGAACTTCATAGAGTGTACTTATACACACCTAGACGGTAGAGCCTACTACACACCTAGGCCATATGGTACTAATCTTGTGGGACCACTGTCCTACATGTGGTTTGTCGTTGACTGAAATGTTATGTGCTGCATGACTGTATTAGTAATACTATAACTTGGTTTACTTGCATTTCTTGTACCGAACACACACGGCCTCTTCATAGATTGGGAGGGAGGTCTATATGGGTTTAAAAACATAAACCCCTGCGGATTTGGAAGTGGGAAGTTTTGTCAGCTCTGATTCTCTTAACCATCCATTTCATTTTGAACATGCGTCTAGATGTCCAAATTTGTCCAACCTGTGGGTTGGGATGTTGTCCCTTTAAAAAATCAGGTTGGGGTAGAGGGTGATGTATTTGTTTCCTGTGGCTGCTGTAACAAACTACCACAATCTCGGTGGCTTACAACAGCAGAAATTGATTCTTTTATAGTTCTGGAGGCCCGAAGTCCAACATCAGTATCACTGGGGTGAAATCAAGGTGTTGGCAGGACTGTGCTCCCACCGGAGACTTTAGGGGAGAATCCTTCTGTGTCCCTTCAGCTTCTGGTGGCTGCTGGCATTCCTTAGTTTGTGGCCACATCACTCCAATCTCTGGTCATATTGTCTTCTCTCTGTGTGTCAAATCTCCCTCTGCCTCTCTCTTATAAGGACACATAGGAAGGCATTTAGGGCCTCCCGGGTAATCGAGGATAATCTCCCCATCTCAGGATCTTTAACTTCATCACATCTGCAAAGACCCTTTTTACATATAAGGTCACATTACAGGTTCCAGAGATTAGGACCTGCTATTTTTGGAGGCTTATTTT